ATTTCTTAACTGAAACAGTATTTCAAAGCATCTAGCATTTTCTGTACCTTACTTTGTAATATTGTGCCAGAGTTTCTGTTTTGAGCCCACATTTTTTTTCTGATGTGTTCTTACTGTCTTTTGAAACATTATCATATTAACTTGTATTACTTCTTTTAGCAGTAACTTATATTGGAAATAGACTGCATTTTCCCCCACATTTATAAAGGAGTGAATTTTCCTAAGCTATTAGAAAGAGGCTCCTTAGGTCTGGGCACTGTGGCTCATGCCTATAATCCCAGTAATTTGGTAGAATGAGGCAGGAGGATTGCCTGAAGCCAGGAGTTAAAAAGCAGTCTGGGCAGTGAAATGAGGCCTTTCAGAAAGAGGAAAGGAAGGAAGGAGGGAGGGAGGGAGGGAAGAAGGGAGGGAGGAAAGAAGGAAGGAAGGATAATAATAGCATATTGTCCATTCGTATTATGAATTAAAGTGTTATTATTTTAGAGTTGAAAGTGTATTAGACAACCCCAAGAGTAAGCAACTAATTATGCAAATAAGGAAACTCAAATTTTCTCATAATCACAAGACTTGTAGCTATTACTACTTGTTGTAATGTTTAATTGCTTTCTTAATAATTATATCTCAACTCTCCAAATAGATGGTAAGTTTCTCAAATTTAAGGACAATGTTTCATTCATCTTTAATGTCTTCCACAAGCACCTGGTATGTAGCTAGGAATACGAGGGGAATGTAGAAGGTACTTATTAAGGTGAAGTTAAATAAATACATTTGTTCATTCAGTAAATATTTATTGAGTGCTTCATGTGTCAAGTATTGTTCTAAGAATTTTGTGTGTATTAGCTGAGAAATATTTTTTGAATTCTCTACTTTGCTGGAGCTTATATTTTAGCATGGGTAGAAAGACAACAAAAATAAATATGGTAATATGTTAATTATGTGAATGTTAAATATTGTAAGAATTATAGGGAAAGATAGGGCACAGAAAGAGAGCAGGGGAATGGAGGGGAGTGCAATTTTTAATAGTAAGATGGTTATGCAGTTGGTGAATTTTGGGGGAAAATCTGAAGCAGGTGAAAGTGTTAATTATGGAAATACCTGAACAGTGTTTCAAGCGGAAGAAACTTACAGTACAAGGGCCCTAAGACAGTAGTCTGGGTGCAGGAAAGAGAAATATCATGGGAACTAATGTGGCAAAACAAAGTGAGCAAGGAAAATAATTGTAGGACTTGAGGTAAATGATCAACTCTTGGTGGGACTATATATGGAGCAGGAGTTAGGGTTACATCATATAGGGTTTATATGCCATTGTAGATATTTTGGTTTTTACTTTGAAATAGGAGGAGATTGTAAGGTTTGGAAAACAAGGAATATCATGACCTGGCTTATACTTTTAAAAGATTACTCTGGTGGCTCTGTTGAGAATTCATGATAAAAGATAGAAGGGTGTAAGTAGGAAAATCAGGAGGATTCTTCAGTAATTCAGCTGAGAGAAGATGGTGGTTTGACCAGATGCTAGTAATGGAGGTGGTGGGAATCAGTCAGTTAATAGGTAAAGATAACAGGATGTTTTAATATACCAGATATGAGATGTGAGAGAAAGACCAAGGATGACACTAAGATATTTGTCATGATCAACTGGTAGGGTGACCAATTTATTGTATTTTGCTCAGAATTTTCTTTCCCAGTTTTAACAATGAAAATTCTTCATCTTGAGAACTTACTCAGTTCCTGGTTAACTAGGATGGTTGGCCACCCTTGAAACTGAAAGAAAGGCATTGTTGTAAGTAAGGCTGTAAGATTTTTAAAGGAAGACCAGGAATTCATTCTGGACATATTAAGTTTGAGTTATCTATAGAGTTTCTATCTATTAGTGGAGATTCTAAGCAGGTAGTTGAATGTACATGTTGAGTTCAGGAGAGTGGTCTGGACTGGAGATATATATTTCGAATTTCTTGGTCTAAAAATATTGTTTAGTATCCTGAGTCTGAATGAAGTCATCCAGAAAATAAATGTAGATAGGGGAAAATCCCAATATTTAGAGTTTCAGAGGAGAAAATAATTGAACAAAAGAAGATTGGCTGGGCGTGGTGTCTCAGGCCTGTAATCTCAGCACTTTGGGAGGCCAAAGCAGGTGGATCATGAGGTCAGGAGTTCAAAACCATGCCTGGCCAACATGGTGAACCCCCATCTCTACTAAAAATACAAAAAGTAGCTGGACGTGGTGGCACAGGCCTGTAATCCCAGATACTCAGGAGGTTGAGACAGGAGAATCGCTTGAACCTGGGAGGTGGAGGTTTCAGTGAGCTGAGATCATGCCTCTGCACTCCAGCCTGGGCAACAGAGCAAGATTCCATCTCAAAAAAAAAAAAAAAAAAAAAAAAAAAAGAGGAAGATTGAGAAAGAGTGAGCACTGAGGCAGGATGAAAACCAAGAAAGTATGGTGTTCAGAAAACCAAGGAAAGAAAGCACAGCAAGGAGATGGCGAGGATCAGTTGGACAGATGCTGATATGGGTCTAGAAGAAGAGGACTGAGAATGTAACTACTGGAGTTAGCAACATGAATGTGAGCCTGAAAAGTTAAGTTTTGGTCATGTAGTGGACACAAAAGCATGACTGGAAAGCGAATAAAGGGAAATGGGAGAAGAGAGATAGAAGGCAGCAGATATGTACCATTATTTCAGGGTGACTTGTGGAAAAGATTCAGAGACTTGGAGAAGCAACTGGCAAAAAATTCAGTTAGATAAAATATTTGTAAATGAATGACATAATAGCATGTTTGTATATTACTGGAAATGACCCAGTAGAGGGAAAAATGAATGATTGTATAAACAGAATAAGAACTGTCAGAGAGATTTTCTTAATAAGGTGAAACAAAATGGAATTACCAGCAAAATCACTCACTAGAAAAATGCATATTTCAACTGTCTGCACCACATTTAGAAAAAAAACATGTAAATGACAGCAAAACAAGGAGGAGTTTGTGCAAGAGAATAATTTCTGGAGTTTGCGCTATAGTCCCTCTGGATTAAATTTCAATCCATTGAATATGCCTGTACAGTACCACATTTTTTACTTTATAGCATAATTTTGAAGAATTGCACAATCCTCAATCTTCAGAAAATATTTGCTTGCTATTTAATAGAGTGGAAGTCACTAACTGCATGTTTTAGAAGGCTTTCTAAATACATTTTCAATACCAATAAGTATTGAAAGAAGAATCTATTTCAAAGTAATTTTTAACCAATCAGAAAATTCCATCAACTTGTTATCAGCTTTCCAAGTATTGTTATACTTCTTTTATTTCCAATTAAGCAAGTTATAATTAATATTTTCTGTATTGAAACAGGATGAATCTATAGGTACACTCTTCAGAATCTTATCTGAACTACTGGTTTACAAAGATTTTGCTGGATATAAATACACATGTATTGTTTTTTCCTACATTAATTATTCTCATTTTTGTGGTTCTATTCAGTATCTAACAATTATTTTTGATATTTCCCTTAAAGCCTGTATATTTTCCCAGATACATTTTCCTTTATGTTGAAGCCTAATCTGCTGACTTCACCTAAATGGAGATGGGATTTATCAGCAAAAGGAAAGCAGGTGAAAACCAGACCAGATGTCGATAATTACACGAGGCACTAATTAACACTACCTAAATGAAACAAGTTTGTCTTTGTTAATATGTCACTTGCACACTATTACTCCTCAACCTGAGGAAATACTCTGTGTGTGATGACACTGTTGTGTTCTGTCATAATGGTGCCATTATTGCATCTGAACAGTTTCTGAGTAGGGCTTTCCAGGTGATAGACAAAGATACGCACTTTCATTTCCAGTTTATTTTCTCTAGTTCTAACTACATTATTAATTTTTAATAATTACATAAATGCTTTAGAACATAATCTAACATACAAAAAATAAACATAGGAACCTCAAATAAATTTTCCATGAAAAATCTGAATGCATTATTATTTTTCATTATTATGTAAAGTTTTGTCATCCAGTTATGGTACTTGAATATGTGTTTTTATGTTGAACGTACTGAATTTTATAAATGTAGCCATAATTATTTCTAGGTTTAAAAATTATCAGCAATGTTAAAGCAGGCAGCAGAAAGATTGAGTGCTTTTCTCTTTCTTCTCTCAAAAACATACCAAAATAGGCCAGGCTTGGCGGCTCATGCCTGTAATCCCAGCACTTTGGGAGGCCAAAGCAGGTAGATCACCTGAGGTCCAGAGTTTGAGACCAGCCTGGCCAACATGATGAAACTCTGTCTCTACTAAAAATACAAAAAATTAGCCCAGTGTAGTGGCACATGCCTGTCATCCCAGCTACTCGAGAGGCTGAGGCAGGAGATCACTTGAACCCAGGAGGTGGAGGTTGCATTGAGCTGAGATCACATCACTGCATTCCAGCCTGGGCAACAGAGTGAGACTCCATCTCAAAAATAAATAAATAAATAAAACTAAAAATAGAGTATTCTCCATTATTTCATCTTTAACAAAAGCTGAAAATGACAGTAATTGCACACACACACACACACACACACACACCCCCTCTGAGCAATGAGTGCCAGACATAAACTCTGAAGCAAAACAATTAGAGCATAGTTTCATTATGTGATTTTTTTCCTCTTTTTTCTCTTTTATCTTTCTGTGTCTAGAAGATAACAAGTGAAACAATTCTCAATGGCTCCACTACAAATATGTTGACAAGGTGAGGACCTAGAAAGGGACATGAAAAACATCGTGAGAAAAGTAGAAAGACTCTATAGGACCTTATCCCCACTTTAATAAAGAGCAGTAAAGACTCAGGGAAAAGGGATTCCTGTACTGGGCTCCACATTTTAAAGGGTCTTGTATATCTTGTCTATCAGAAGCAAACAAAAGTAAATTCACTAAAACACACATGGGTCCCTAAGTCACAAAGAATTCAAAGCTCAGCATTGGTATCAAATAACTCCACTGGCTCTTGGGACTAGCAGCATTCAGACTCCAAGGGAACTCTCATCCACAGCTCTCGCTGAATTCATTTGAACATCTTCAGGAATTGCAGGTTGTGCCATTAGAGATGGGTACTGCTTCACAGTTCAAGGAAGATTTTTGTAGTTGAAGCATATAGAGAAGAGAAAAATACAAATTAGTTAACTAGTACAATCTTTCATCATACATAGTATGAATGTAATATTTTGTGCTCAATGAAGATTTACTCCTCAATAATGTCAACCATTAATTTTTTGTTTTGCTTTTCTTCATGTTCTAATTATTGGACCCAGAGGTATTCACAATACAGTTGCAGTATTTATAACAGTTGCACCCAGTGGCTGAGAAAAATGTTCACAATATTAAAAAACTCACATTCATCTTACATTTATATAAATGTAGGTCTATATGAACATGTCTGAAACTAAATACAGATCCTTGTATTGGCAGCTGTGTGGATATTGAATGCTAGAATTGTGAATAGCTTTATTTTATTAAAATATTTACCAAGGTTTAATTTCTATAGACAAAAGTTGCTGGCCACACTAGATCAAGTTTTTTTCTCATTTGAAAGGCAACTTGAAAGAATTGAACAGCACATTACTATTTTTTATTTACTTTAAAATATCTCAATATTGAAGCATTTTAAGGAAGAATTATATGATTTGTGAATTTATTTTAAGAGATGGTAAAAGCATGAAATAAATAGAGTGAATTGTTAGGAGAAAGCATTATAATATATTTAAATTTTATCAGTGAATCAAGTTATATGTGGCTTCATTACAGAGCTTAAACATGGTGTATTAGTTTGCTAAGGCTGCTGTAACAAAGTACTACAAACTATAGTTTGATTCAACCTATAATACATGGTATGTAAAGCTTAGCAAAGTGAAGTTTCTTCAAAATTAAGACCAGGCCTGTTGGCTCATACCTGTAATGCTAGCACTTTGGTAGGCTGAGGCAGGTGGGTCACTTGAGGTCAGGAGTTCGAGACCCACCTGGCCAACATGGTGTAACCTCATCTTTACTAAATACACAAAATAAACCAGGCATGGTGGCATGTGCTTTTAATACCAGTTACTAGGCAGGCTGAAACTGAGGTAAAATAATCACTTGTACCCAGGAGGTGGAGGTTGCAGTGAGCTAAGATCTCACCACTGCACTCCAGCCTGGACAATAGAGCCAGATAGAGCAGGCTGGACAATAGAGCCAGCCTGGACAATAGAGCCAGATTCCATGTCAAAAACAAAATTAAAAAATTAATGAAAACTAGGGCCTCCCAGGCTTTCAGAAAGATTGTCAAATTTAACATTGTACGCACAACACAATTACATAAAACATCTCAATTATAATAACACAGTAACTGGGAATTGTGCTGAAATAAGAGCAATAAGAATTTATTAACTTGCTGGCCTTTATTTTATTACTCATTTAAACATTCCTGACCTGCTACCAGATCACTCAAATACGCACAGTATTAAAGTACCATAATTTGTTAGTGTTTTGCTGACTTTCCAGGCACATGGAAACAATTGCTTTGCAGTATTTTTTTAACTTTTGTTTTTATGAAGGTATATTTTTGGTGGGGTTTTGTGCTTTTTTTTTTTTTGAGACAGGATCTCACTCTGTCACTTAGGATGAAGCGCAGTGGCTCAATCTCGGCTGACTGCAGCCTCCATCTCCTGGGCTCAAGCGATCCTCCCACTTCAGCTGCCTGAGTAGCCGGGACCTGTACAGGGGTGTGCCACCATACCTGGCTAATTGTTTTGTGTTTTTGGTGGAGACTGGATTTCATCATGTTGCCCAGACTAGTCTTGAGCTCTTGAACTCATGTGATCTTCCCGCCTCAGCCTCCCAAAGTACTGGGATTACAGGCATGAGCCACCACAATGGGTGAAGGTATATTTTCAACATAAAATGACAGTAATAAATTTTATTTAATTGTCAGATTTTTAAAAATAAATTTAGATAATTACTATATATGGTAGCAGGGCTCCATTTGTTCTCTTCCATTGGGTTCCACCAATATTAGAAGCTGGGCTGCTTACTCTGTTTCAAGAAATAACAAAGTAGAGTCTTCAAGGGAGATTTCAGCAAAGCCATTTGTATTTTCCTAGCCAAAACAGAAGATTCAAAAATCCCTAGCCAACTTGATTTCAGAAATTTTTAGATATATGAATAGAATGTTGAATGTCTACTTTAATTTCCCTGTAGAGTTAATTCCATGAATACATGCAGAAATGATGAGCAAATGGTGACTTAAAAATATTTAAAAATCTTAACTTAATTATTTTCAAGCTTTTCACATTATCAACAATGTTTTCATCACTGAGCTATTAATAGTTTTAAGCCGCCTACTTTCCAAGTAATATAATCTCTACTTCCATATTTTTTTTTAATTGAGACAGAACATTTTAAATCTATTTAAGTTATTACCAGTGGAAAATTTGTCTTGTTACTAGAACCCATTCAAGTATCATTAGGGTAGTCACTTATCAGGGGAAACTTCACCCCCAATATTCAATGTGGGTTCTTTTCTATTTTCCTGAGCATCAGCTGATCTGAGAAATAATGGGAAAGAGTACAAAGGAGAGAAATTTTAAACCTGGGTGTCCGGGTGAGACATCACATGTCGTCAGGTTCCGTGATGCTCCCTGAGCCATAAAATCAGCAAGCTTTCATTAGCGATTTTCAAAAGGGGAGGGAGTATACAAATAGGGTTTGGGTCACAGAGATCACATGCTTCACAGGGTAATAAAATATCACAAAGCAAATAGAGGCAGAGAGAGATCACAGGACCACAGAATGGGGTGAAATTATAATTGCTAATGAAGTTTCAGCATGCATTGTCATTGATAACATCTTATCAGGAGACAGAGTTTGAGAGCAGACAACCTGTCTGACCAAAACTTATTAGGCAGGAATTTCCTCATCCTAATAAGCCTGAGAGCACTACAGGAGATCAGGGCTTATTTCATCCCTTCGTCTTTGACCGTAAAAGAAAGCCACCCCCAAAGCGGCCATTTCAGAGGTCTACCCTCAGGGGCACATTCTCTTTCTCAGGGATATTCCTTGCTGAGAAAAAGAATTCAGCAATATTGCTACTATTTGCTTTTGAAAGAAAAATACGGCTCTGTTTCACCCGGCTCGCAGGCAGTCAGAGTTTAAGGTTATCTCCCTTGTTCCCTGAACATTGCTGTTATCCTGTTCTTTTTTCAAGGTGCCCAGATTTCATATTGTTCAAACACACATGCTTTACAAACAATTTGTGCAGTTAACGCAATCATCACAGAGTCCTGAGGTGACATACATCCTCCTCAGCTTAAGAAGATGACGGGATTAAGAGATTAAAGTAAATACAGGAACAGGAAATCACAAGAGTATTGATTGGGGAAGCGATATGTGTCCATGAAATCTTCACAATTTATGTTCAGAGATTGCAGTAAAGACAGGCATAAAAATTATAAAAGTATTAATTTGGAGAACTAATAAATGTCCATGAAATCTTCACAATTTATGTTCTTCTGACATGGCTTCAGCTGGTCCCTCTGTTTGAGGTCCTTGACTTCCCAAAACAGTCACTATTTTCTTATTCTTTTTATATGTAGGCTTATATTTACAATTTGTAAAGGTAACTATTTACTCAATTGCTTTCTTCTTTTCTTCTTTATTGCTTTCTGAGGTTAACTTACAAGTATTAAAAGATTTTTTACAATGACAGCCCACATATCTCATACTTTCCAGGTAACAAGTGCTGAAACTGTATGTGAGACCTTTTTAGTATTGACTATAGTCATTTCAGGCTAAGATCCTTTCCTCAAACAATTTTTTGAGGAAAATTAATTTAATTTAATTCAAATTAATTCCCCTAGCTAAAATTAAATAATTGAGACACATCCTGCTAAAAGAGAAGGTTTTAGAAGAATTGATAGACTACGTAGCTTCTTCTTGCCCAAACAATTTTTTGGGGGAAAACAAAAAAATCATTAATATGCAAGCAAATGAAACAATGAACAAAAGGATTTGAGCCACAAGTTTTGCACCCACTGCTTCTAGTCAGACTGAGGTGTTCTTGTCAAACTACAGAGGTCAGAAAGAATCCTAACCTGGCATAGGTGCAGATGGAATCCCACAGTCAAAGACAGAGGAGGGTGATCAGAGAAAACATGACCTGCTGCTGTTCTACTCAAGTGGCCCCACCTCCCAGCACATGTTCCTTCAGCACATGTGACAGATAAATGACTAAATACAAATAATAAACTGCATCCAGTCTTCCAGCTGAAAGTCTAAGGGTGAACTGGGTTAACAGGGAGGCAGTTCAATGAGGGTCCACCCACCCAAATCCTAGCCAAATGCCCAGATCCACTACAGCCTTGAGGAAGAAGCAGGAAATAAAATGCCCATGGAGTCAATGAAAAATATCACCCAAGGGGAGAAAGCAACATTACACATAAAAGAAAAATGAAGAGGATATTTGGAATGCTTACTCCAAAATACAAAAGGCACATTTAGAAAAAAGTGCCTCTGGGGCCTTAAGCAAATTTGAGAAGATGGACTTTATAAATCATAAAATCTGTAAATATTATTGTGCCTTACCCTGTTCAGATTTATTGATTCTATTATTGGGTATCTCTTCTCAAATAATATTTAAAATAGTTGTGACAGTATATACACTTATATTGGGATTATGTTTAGTATTTTTTTGTTAAGCATAATGCAGAACTTAAAGTACCTCAAAAATGACTGGGTAAAAAATACAACAGACAGCTGAGTGTGGTGGCTCATGCCTATAATCTTAGTATTTTGGGAGGCCTAGGCTGGTGGATCACCCGAGATCAGGAGTTTGAGACCAGCCTGGCCACATGGAGAAACCCCACGTCTACTAAAAATAAAAAAATAGCTGGGTATGGGTGGGTGTGCCTGCAGTCCTAGCTACTCAAGAGGCTGAGGCAGGAGAATTGCTTGAAACCTGGAGGCAGAGGCTGCAGCGGTCAAGGTGGCATGCCACTGAACTCCAGCCTGGGTGACAGAGCAAGACTCTGTTTCAAAAAACAAACAAACAAAAAAACCCAAACAGGCAAATTTAAAAAATGAACGTAATATACACAGTATTAATATCAGAAAATATGTAATGTCAAAACATTAAGTTGAAATATGGGCATTTTTATTCTTTACAGGTCTTATGAAATTCAATTTTATGAACAGATATTCATGTAGCAAATGTCATAGCACCAATGTAATCAATGTGATTGAAACAAAAACATTATAACTGTAAAAATCAGCGATAGGTTGAGATGACTGACCTCAGAAAGTAACATTTCAAGAAGGGAGATAATTTCTCCATTGTTCAGGAAAACAGTGAAAGTTCAACATCTCTTCTTATCTGGAACCAGTGCAAGATAAAAATATTGAGTGTGCAAATCTAATATTTGCTTATTTAGTTAAAAAACATTTCACAATGTAAACATATATCAAATCATCACATTGTACCACCTAAATATTTATAGTTGTTAGTTGATATGGTTTGGCTATGTGTCCCTGCCGCCCCTCAGCCCCGCCCGCCTGCCAAATCTCATATCAAACTGTAATCTTCACATGCCCAGGGAGGGACCTGGTAGAAGGTAATTGAATCATGGAGGTGGTTTTCCCCCATGCTGTTCTTGTGATAGTGAGGGAGTTCTTACAAGAACTGATGGTTTCAAGAGTAGCAGGTTTTCCCATGTTCTCTCTCTCCTGCCACCATGTAAGACACATCTTGCTTCCCCATCCCCAGCCATGCCAAATTGTAAGTCAATTAAACCTCCTTTTTAAAAATAAATTACCCAGTCTCCAGTAGTATCTTTATAGCAGTGTGAGAACAGACTAATATATCAGTCAATTTAAAATAAAATTTTAAATTATTTAATATGAAAATAGATGTAATGCTCTACATAAATCGAGGCAGTAGTTTTAAAAAGACATAGATAATTGAATTCACAGTTTTAATGTATTTTTTCTCACTTACCTGAGTGTATGATCCCAATTTGGAGATCACTGAGTTAGACAAAAAATGATCAAAATTGTTCTAGAGAATGCACAGGAATTTTATAATTATTATAGGAGACATGAGAATATGTTATCTATGGTGTTCATCATATCAATGAATTGAAAAAAGTCTCACATCAATTGATTGCAGAAAACAATTTATTATAAAATTCATCATTGGGTGTGTATGTGTGTGTATGTATAGCAAACTTTATGCCCAGTAGCAGATTACAGCAGACAATCCCATTAAAGTCAAGGATCAAATGAGCTTACATAGTAACACTACTAGTTTTAATTTTGCTTCAGAAAACAAATCCTGTAATAGAACTTATATATATTGAAAGGATAGAGTGAATTTGGTATAATTTACAAGTTATCTGATACAAGGTAAATCTAAAAAAAAATTACGTATTCAGAAACACCAAGAATTCAGTAGGATAGTTAATTTCAAATTAATTTGTAAAATTATTTTGTAAATATATTAGAAGACTAAATTTATCTACAATAGCAATATCACAAAATTTTTAAAAAATGGGAAAAACCCCACTTTGGAATAAATCTATAAAAGCAGGCAGTAATGATGTTCTATACAACATACAATTGTATAGTTTTACAGTTGTAAAGTTTTAAAAGTTGTACAGATGCACAGATTTCTTAAACTTCAAAAATTTAATTTAAGAGTTAGAACATGAATGTGTAGTCACATGTCATGTTCTTGGATGGTATCATGTATTGTACAGATACAAATTTTCTAAAAGTGGACCTATAAATATAATGAATACTAATTAATTTCCCAATTAAACTGCAGAAAAAAAGTACAAGATTATTTTAAATTAATTGGAACACTAAGTGCGTGAGTATAACCAGAAAATAATTTAAAATAAAAGAAAATGGGAAAGATTGGTCTATCAAGTATAAGAGACATAAGAATATAATTAATTAAACTGTCATTGATTAAGGAATAATAAGGAAATGGAATACACTCAAGCCTCCAGAAACAGATTCAAGCATGTATGAGTATTTAATATATAATAAAACTGAATTTCTTTAAGAGTGAAGAGAGGACGAATTAAAGAATAAATGATATTGGGACCATTTTATTCCAGTTTACAAACATTGTATTTTTTTCTCATACCATAAACCAAAAGTCTCAAAAGAGTTGATGATTTAATTGCAAAGGATCATATGACAAAAGAAAATTTGGGAAATAATTTTTATAATTTTAAGGTGGGAACAACTTTCTATAGAAAAGATTGACATGTTGATTTACATAAAAATTTATAATGCAGAATAAAGCCATGGACACTGTAGTGATGGGCAGGATCATATATAAAGAGTATTTAAATACTAAAAAGTCCTGTTAAGAACTATTTAAGCAGATATTTTTCAGCTATGAAATTGGTTAGGACTTTAACATTTTCCATATCAATGTGGGTGCAGATTATATACTGACACCTTTCTAGATGTCAATTTAGTAATATAATTAGATGTTGCTAAATTAGTTATCCTATGTAAGTAATTAGATGATTGTGTGACGGTATATACATAGTGGTGGTTATTGCAGTTTGTTTACATTACATTTTTTTTTAAATGGTAAGAACTTAATATCCAATAGTAGGGGGCTTACAACCTTTTAAAATGGGATATTAAGGGGTTTATAAAATAGCTAACGTTACAGATCTTGTTAGTGGTAAATTTAGAAAAATGGAAAGCAGGTGGCCGTTGTGGGATCCTGAACTGTGTGTGTGAGCGTGTGTGTGTGCACGCGCGTGCATGTGTGTGTGTCTGGGGGAATTAATGCTGTGGGGAGGAAAAACCTTAGTAAGGAAAGGAGAATGTGAGAGTGATGGGATATTCTGGAATCCTTAACTGGGAAAGGCTGAGGTGCTTGGTGGAGCTGGGAAATAGAGGGAAAAATAAAAATGGTTAACATTAAAACGTCTATACACCACATTAGTAAGAGAACATGCAAGCTATACAAATAACTTAAGTTAGATAATCTCCCAGACTGTTTTTTACAGGTGCATAGCTAGAATAGTACTAGTAATTATTTCTGGGTAGGACCATTCTTTTCTTCTTCATAATTTTCTGAAAAGTTTGAAATGAGTATGAATTTTTCTTATGTTTAGAAATGATGGCTATTTTCATTAAACTAGTTTTATTTAAATAAAAAAGTAACAAATGAACTAATCCTATTCTTATTATCTATTGACTTACATACTTTATTTGGTAATCCATGAAGTTTTCCCATTTCTAGTGAGTATCATTTTATGTAAATATAATTATCCAAAAAATGACTTTACTCAATTTTAGATGATTTTATTTCAAACTATATATATCACTTGGGAGTCATTAAAATATTTAAATAAATGAATGAAACTCGAAAACAACACATGCATTTGCCATAATTGCTTCATTTTTAATTTCCCCCCTCTGCCCTTAATGAACATCAGCCTTTTGTTTCCTGTGATTCAGCACACCCAGTGATCACCTATGAACCAGGATATGAGAAATCTGCTTCCCACACAGAGCTAAGTAAAATACATATGCCTTTGCCTCTCTTTGTATCATAATTAACTTACTAGAGTTTCACAGGATATTAATCTACCCTTTTATTTTTATAGTTCATTAAGTATATTATTATGTGTTTGTACATCTTTTATATTCACAGCATTCCTTAAAACAATTTTATTAGTTATTTCTCACATGTTGTTATTAAATTATGAAATATGATTCAACCAAAAAAAAAAAAAACACTCAGAAATGAAGTTTCCTCCAGTTCTAGCTGTAGAGAAAATCTTACATAATAAGAAAAGTCATGAGATATCCAATTCGTAATCAGAGCTGCTTCCAAACAGTTCTAGGTCAGTTTAATGAAACCTAGAATGGTCAGAAAATAACTGATTTTATCTTTCAACCTTGTCACACTGCATCTGAATTTTCAAAACTACTCCCAAAGCTCAATTTCAATTTAGTCGATTGCATGCAACTCTTAACCCTGCAATTAACCAGCAATTGACTTAGATTTCTTGTCAGCACATAAAAGAAGTTCATTAAGTGACTGATAGTGTCTCCATTTTTCTACCTGTCAATGTCAGTATAATGAATTATTTTGCATTCATATATTTTTATTTAACATTCATAGAGGAAATAGATTGAGTGTGTGTTATTCTCTTTAGTTACATGTAAAGTAGAAAACTCAGGTGTTGACAACCAAGCAACAAACAGGCAAACAAACATGGAAGTTCTCCTAGATTCTTATATTCCTCAATAAATCTCCAAGCTCTATCATTTTCATCTTTAATGTATATGGAACTTTTTTTTTTAATCATAGTTTCATTTACCACCTGAATTTTTCAATAGTCTCCAATTGGTCTTCCTTTCTACAGTCCTTCCTACACATTGTCACCAGAATGATCCTTCTAAATTTATTTCTGAGCATGTTACTCTGGCCTTTAAATCTGTCAGTGACTCTCCTCATCTGCCTGGCAAGGGTCAGGTTCATTTGTTGGCATAATACTTTCTCCATAGTAGTGACCCGTCTTTTAATCTTTGGCTTCATTATCCACCATCCAAGTTTGACACCTCTGTGGGTTTGCGTAAGCCATTGCCCCTACCTTGGATGCCCTTTTCTTCTACCTTCTTCAATCCACCTAGTAACGGTTTGTCTATCATTTAAAGTTCTCAAACTTCCAGGTATACAAGCATCATTTCAGGTACTTGTTCAAAAGTATGCCAAGCTCTGAGATTCTAAGAACCAAGTTATTTCTGGTCCAAATAATGGACACTATGCCAGTGGTTCTCAACCCAGCCTACATTACAGTAGAATAACACAGGAATTAAAATAATTCCATTAGAATAATATAGGATCTTGGAGAGGATGGTGGGCAGGACTCATAAGATGTTCAGACACTGGTATAATTTAAATCCTTCACAGGTGATTTGTTTCTAATATTCAACAAAAATTAAGAAACATTTCTTTAAAATATGTTCAGGCAGTAATTCTTCCACGAAGAATTCCTTGATGCTTGAGACAGATAAAGTTAGTCCCTCTCAGAAGGCTGATTCTTTGCTAAAATAAAAGCCCAAAGACAGCTATGCTATATTTGTCTTTGCAACCTGATGGGGTGCAGAAAACGGTACTCCAAGGCATGAAAACAGCAGAAACAGCAAGGTCTCCCCGACCTTCTCTCACCCCTTGGCCCCCCGAAGTAGGATATAGAGATTAAAATTCTCCTTGCCCCTTCTTCCCTGAAGGAGGCCAGAAAATCCAAGAAGGTCACTCTCTAACCTTCTCCCACCCCTTTCCCCTGAAGACCCTTATGTGAAAATTGTCCTGTCCTATACCTGGAGGGAGGG